AATTTTTTCCTGGGTTATCGCGCTAACAATCTTTATATTGGCAAAACCCTCAGATTTTTGCTGTGACCTTGACAATTATCTCAAGGTCACTCCATTTCACTTGTGTCGGTGAATCTCGCCAATATACCTTGGTACCAAATTTGAACAAAATCCATGATCTTTCTTAAGTTATCGCCCTAACCAGCTTATTTGATGTATGAAATGCAACGAAAAGCAAACACCCGCGTATTTACGAGTGATTAAAACTGTTATTACAATTTACGTAAACATTTATTACATTTTACCGCAACGAAAGTTATTACAATTTACGTCAATTTTTATTACACTTTGCGTATTACAATTTACATCATTTTTTTATTACAATTTACGTTTTTTATTACAATTTACGTCAAGTTTATTACAATTTGCTGCAAGTATTACAATTTGCGTTTTTATTACAATTTACGTCGTAACAGGCTCTAATGAAACACACAATACGATTAGCACAATATACACAAAATAATCACAGGCGAATCGGCATGTAAATTTTTAGCAGTCTTTTCGACATTATCATTGTTAGTTGGATTCAACAAAGAAAATACATGTTTGACTTGTCCGAAGGCCACGGTATGAAGTGTCTGTAGAGGGGAGCTGCGTCCATCATGCACTCCAAGTCTACATCCAGAGGTGAGCGAGAATCTGAACAGCGCTGCACATTGACCAGGTTACGATCACTGGCAGGGAACTTGGTTACTGTGAGAGTGGAGTCTTTGTGATTTTTGCGACAGAAACTTTATGATTTGTGACAGAGCATTTGTGATTTTAGCAACTGCAAGGCGAGGGTAAGGTGCAATAAATGGCCTGTAGACATCCGAAATCAACTTAAGAAGGAATTAATTTCACGTTTACCTCAATGCTAAGTTCCTTCAGGAACGAATGTAGTTATATTACTCTGAAAACCCTTGATAATCATGTAAAGTCATAAATTGTTTTTTTTTAATTAATGAATTGATGTAATTTATAAATTGTTTGAATAAATTATTGTAGCATAAAAAGTCAGCATTCTGATTGGGTTTATCTCCCACTATAAAGAAGCTTGTGCTGTTTTATCAGCGAAAAGAAGACACATATTTAAAACACTGAATTGGTATAATTTATGATTATGAAGTTGATGTTACGGAAAATTCATTCATGGTCACAAATAATTCACAATCACAAAAATGGAATTGACAGGACACAATTTGCAAAATCTTGTCCATGAATGGGAATAGGACGCTTCTATTAATATATCTATGGTGTCGAAAGATCGTCTGAATGTTTGAAGCTATAATTCGATGTGATTTAAACTGAACATAACATTGTCGTCTCTCGACTGTTCCATGTCAGGACAATGTTGACTACAACATCATAAGTGGTCAAGTATAATGTGGTGATATTTGTCCATGCTTTTAATTCCATCATGAAGGGTATGAATTTTGCTTGAATTTCTTATAATAGAATTGTGCAGAATCGGTTCACTTTTGTTGAAAATCTCCTGGCATAAATATTGCTGTAAGGGGTACCTGTCATATCTTCCTGTTTCGCATAGTTTTCTCTATCCTTAGATTTACTTCAATATTCTTGAAATATATAGTTCAGTAAAAACAAACCTAATGAATCCACTTATGGGATTAAAGGAGCCATGAATCATTAGTGGTGGTCCGATTAATTGAAATAATCGAAGATTGGTTGCAGTGACTAAACGACCAAGCAGCTGATCATGTTTCCTCATAATCGAACACAAACAATTTTGGAACACTTGCTTGCAGTAACAATATTTTTCACAAGGTTGGTTTTGTCTGTCATTAAGTCTACATTTCATAAGCACGACAAGTTTGGTCCAGGTCATGATTGAATTTATCTTGAAAACTCCAGAAAATAAATGTTCCTAACATACTAGTCATCCTTTAAAAATGGGGCGGTGGGGTAGCCAAGTGGTTAAAGTGTTCGCTAGTCAAGCTTAAGAATGTGCGAAGCCCATTTCTGGTGTCCTCCGCAGTGATATTGCTGGAATATTGCTAAAGCGACATATGCTCGAAAACGGTATAAGAATCTATACCGAAACGTCGCTATTGTTAAAATAAAGAAGCTGATCATCCATAAAGTTGTGTCATCTCTATTCACCTAGTGTGTTACATGAGACAACAATTTACGTTTTGAAGTCTATTTATGATTGACAGATACTCATCATTATCTACAACAATGTGTAGATCACAATCATCATCTCCAACCTTACCTGAACAAAGACATTCCTTCCCAAACTCGGAGATGGTACGGTGTTCTCCATGTTTTTCATGCAACTCATGCTGCACGTGTTGTTCACAAGGACCAGCCCTATAAAATCCACTCACAAACCTGGCTGAAACATTCACATTACAACGTCAGCAAGATGCCGCGACTCATGACAGCTCAGGGGAACCAGGCGCTAGGAAGACTTGAAGCTGGCCACACTGCACAAGCCGTTGCCAGTCACTTGCATGTCAACGTTTGGACCATCTACCGGCTGCAGCAACGTTTCCGGGCCACCAACACCACAAATGATTGCCCCAATACTGACAGACCAAGAGTGACCACAAGACGACAAGACCAACATGACTTCTTAACAGCGAGAACCTTCATTGCCGTAGACCTTACCGTGGACCTATCCTCTCCCCTCGTCATCGGCGTGAACGTTTACAGTTCGCCCTACAGCACCAAAACTGGCGATACAGGCAATGGAGAACTGTTCTGTTCACAGATGAGAGTCGGTACTGCGTATCAACTGCAGACATCATACCACATTTCGCACGTCACCGGAACAACATTTCCCAGCATGATAACGCCCGGGCCCATACTGCCAAAGCTACACGGGACTTGCTACAGCAGAACGGTGTTAACATTATGCAGTGGCCTGCCCATAGTCCTGATTTAAACCCTACTGAACATCTTTGGAATGAAATTCAGAGGAGACTGAATAATGTCATACCAAGGCCAAATACAGCCGATTTATTGCGCCAAGCCATTCTCAGAGTGAGCTTCCAGGTGCCAATGGCCTTCATTAATCGATTGGTGCACTCCATGCAAAGAAGCTGTGCTGCAGTTATTGCCGCTCATGGTGGTCACATTAGGTACTGAAGTCAACAGTCTGAATGGACTGCAAACATTCACGTAATGTCTTGAAATTGTGCTGAGTTATTCATTGATGTGTCAAAATATTGTAAACATATAATGGTTTTCATCCGCTTATTATGTCCATTTCTGTAATGATGTGATTACAGTGTCTGTCTTATTTTGAATTCGTACTGACGTTTGTTTTGCTGCTGAGTATATATTGAACAAACAATGAGCAAGCTACAATGAATCACAACACAGATTTCTAGTACAATGCAACTGAGTCACAATATATAAAATATTAACTCACCAGAGTCTTGACATTTACAGTGTGAGCAGATATACTAATTGAAGGTTGTTTACAATGACATATGTTGAATATAGACGAGCAGGGTCAGTCTAGAAATGTACGACGTCAGACGATGACGATGGCAGACAGATGTACTCAAATCCAGTAATAATCCATGTAATAAAGTCCATGTGATTCCCCGCCGCACAACGCAACAACCAGCCTTTGTATAGCTCTTACACAGTTCTCGAGCATTCTAGTAAAGTTCGCGAGCATCACTATCCACTCAGAACATTAGGCGATTTTCTTGAACATACGACCGGGAGTCAAAACAAAATAAGCCAATGAGGCAACTCTGGAGCGCTATCAAAAAGGCGCACCGCTAGAAATAATATTGCCATTGAACATATATGATGCAAAATGTGAGCCACAACCCACACTCAAAACTTTAAACATTGTGACCCAAAATAACTATCTCTTAATCAATGATTTTACAAATTACAAAAAATATACTCTCATAACAATTATCAAAATAACTTTCATTGCAAATTATGATAAAATGATACCTATACTATTGTTAGATTTATTAAAGTAAATTATAAAGTTGCAAGATGATATCATGTGCTGATAAGGAAAATTATAGTCTATAGTATACCACAAACGAAAACTATAATTATCATTTTATCTTATTTTAACAGTATCATTGCAAAGACTCTGTCACAAATCAAAATCAAAGTTTCTGTCGCAAAAATTCACTCTCATTGAAACCAAGTTCCCTACCAGTGGTTATTTTCATTGCAGATTAGATCATCAGTAAGAAAGGTAGGGTCACCATACTAAGGTCCATATGAACTTACGGTACCTTTATTAATGGTTTGTCATCAGGATTTACACCTTTCCTTAGTTACCGGAAATCATTGCAAATTTAGCTTGAGATTACAAGTAAACACATAGTATGCGGTTCAAACACAGCTACATATAAATATGCTTTGAATGAGTTGAATGTACCCTTTTTGAGGAAATTTATATACATCACTTTGTACATCGAAATTCATTATTGAGATCCATTTCTTTTAAAAATTATAATGTTATCAAAGAATGAACTTTACTAAAAATTCTTTTATTGCTTGACTTTGAAATATTTATCAATTTGAGAACAGTGTACGCCTTATTTTTAATCCTATTATGTTAAAACTTATAAGCTATATAAGTCAGCGATATTATTTATATTCACGTGAACATAAGCTCAAAACAGTTTTGTTACGATTATTATAGAGAAGGGCTTTTTAATCCATTGAGTAAATTTCGACTATATATGGATCTGGGGGTTTTCTTTGTCATTACCATAACCGTTCATCAATATCTATTGACACAATAAGGTTAAAAGAAAACAAAATTAGACGCTAAGATAAGTAGTCCAAAATATACACAAAATACACGTCTGAAACTGAATGGTGAAAATACGAACAATGAAACAAGACAATTTGTATTATTAAATTGATTTCTTCATCAATTTGTATTTCTGGAATATTTTGTTTTGCTATAAGCCATGACATACGTTTGATGCGCATGGATTTATTGATCGTTATCATTGTTGTTTCAGGCATGTCTCAATGGCGGTTTCCTGAAGCCAGATGGTAGATGCGCGTGTGTGGATGGTCACGTTGGTCCTCGGTGTGAGCGACCAATGACAGGTGGGTGTTTAGTTGGTATTGAATTCTTGAGTGTAAGAATATGTGTATCCCATCAATGTTTCTGTAAATGTTATGGCAACAACACAGAGAGTGTGTATCTATTTGAGGAATTGCAGATGCAAATTTCAGTTTAAGAAGGTGTCGCTTATAAAGATTACCTACACAGTGGTCAGTGATCACTTAGTGGAACAAGGCACTTAATACTAGAATGATAGAAACATCTATAATAAGTACCTAAGTTCATTTAAACATCGGATTTAAATTTATTCTCACCAGAGTGTTTGAAATTCTTTGACATGCTTCTTGAGGTTAACCCTAAGCTGGGCCCCCGTCTCCTCCATCGCGATATCGAACCAATAGGGCAACTTGACGCGCGCAAAGGGAGCCGTGAACCTGCTTAGGGTTAACCCTCAACAGTGATTTCCTGGTGACATTACTGGTGAATACTTGCATGAAATTACAACGCTTCAGAACTCATTTCAGTCGTGCTGATATAAAAAAAAAATGGATCGGCGTGGTAGCAAAGTACTGAGGTTAAAGTTTGGACTTGTGGCGCCTAGAGGCCGGAGTTCGATTCTCTAAAATGGGTACAAATGTGCTAAACGAATTTTCGTTGATGACCCGTCACGGTTTGGCGTCACTAATGCTGTTCCCAAGCAAGACCTAGACCTTGGAATTAAGTAATGATCATGACTTCATCATGCTTTTGTGAAGCTCTTTTTTCTTCTGTGTTACAATATCATGATGCATTTACATATCACCGATCGTTAAAAGACGAGGTTCTAAAAATATAATGGACACTTATTCAACAAGAAGAAAATATTCCCTTCACGACCTGAAAAAGGACCCAAAACAGATTTTATAGCAGACTGGCGATACCACTAACAATTTACAATTCCCACAGTTTTTAAACAAAGGCATATTGGCAAAAGTTTCTTGATAATCGGAATTATATTGTCTCGATATACATTCTGATTGGCTGACTCAGGATGGTAATGCGTGAGTATGGTTTTACGCCGCGTTTAGCAATATTGAGGAAATATCATGGCGGGGGCACCAGAAATGGGCTTCACACCTTATCTGGGGAATCGAACCAGGGACTTCAGCGTGACGAGAAGACGCTTTAACCATTAAGTTAACCATTAGGCTACCTCACCCCTATGTCGAACAGGACGATCCTTGTGGTAGGAAGTTATGGAAAGATAGGAATGATAACAAATACATGTCGCGCTGACACCGTTGTGTAAAGGTGACCATATATGCAATGTATGACAATTCTCTTGCAACAGATTGTTCTGAGGGTTTCAACTCCGTCCATGGCTACACCGACGGTGTGTACAATATTAAACCATTAGCCTCGCAAACGTCATTTCCGGTCCACTGCACCATGAAATTCGGCGGGAGAACAAGAATTGCATATCGGTCTCTGTCTTCAGTGGATTTCTACCAAAACTGGGACGGCTACAAAAACGGTTTTGGTGATGTGACAGGTGACCATTGGCTTGGACTTGAGAAGATTCATCTCATAACAAAACCTGGTTCATATGAATTGCGAGCGGGGGCTGTGCTGAAGAATAAAAGTCGCTATCATCAATATTATGAAGATACGCGAGTGGCTGATGAAACGAACGGCTATATGATTACATTTTCGGCCGTGAGGACGCCGAATATACAACCTCTTGGTGATTGTCTAAGCCCTCTGAATGGGTCCTCATTCAGTACATTTGACCGCGACAACGACAACTTGCCATCCGGAAGCTGCGCAGTCGATTATCAGAGTGGATGGTGGTTTAACGCATGTGCAGACTGCAATCCTACAGGCCGTCTGTTGATGACTGCTGATGGTTTACGGACAAACGTCCAGCATGAGGTTTACTGGACAAATAATTTAGGTAATGCTGTTCCCTACATATTGAAATTGTGGCTTGTAAAGATGTAATATGTACATTCCAGAAATTGGCTCCGGAAACACATTTGAACGATGCAGATGTAACGTTGAGTGAATTCACTTGGTGTATAATAGGCCGTAGGGCCGGATGGTCTACATTTTTTTTATTTTGAATTTTATGTGATTTTAATATGTCAATTGTATACCACGTGACACGTTAATAAACTATTTTCTTCTTCTTCTTCTTCATAATACTAATTGGAGTCTCCCCTAGTACCCGATCAGAGAACATTACAATGGCATAAAATAAGGGATTTAATTAAACATGTAATGGTAAGAATATGCAATTACTACGTTAATTACCTTATGGCCAGAAACTTCAACTTAGTAAGGTACATGTATATATATGTAAACATTGAATATTTCTAAGTAACCTCTGCACATGAGATAAAGCTTTTGGAAACAGATCTATTTGGAAGATAACATACCTCATAAAAGGAGAACTTTACCCAAGACTGGTCATTCACAAACTGAACATTCTCCAGCTGATCTCACTTATACTGCAATAGAGAGTATAGGGATCCACACGAAGCACACCACTTTAGTGATAACAGCTTCTTGTTTATTGCAATGAGTGACGTTTCGACGTTCATCATTAAGGATAAACAAGCTGATTGGCTGGTGATTGAATAGTTGATTGAGTTTATCACTTGGACGATGGAGTGGATTTCGACTTAGTGAAGTTGATTTACAGATATAATCTATCAATCAGCTGTTTAATTAGCATCAAATCAGACTGTTTACAATTTTAAAAAAACTTTCTTTATATTGGTTTCAAGATATGTGCTATTTGTTGATCTTACGTCTTTCCTCATCAAACAGTATGCAACTTACTCTCAATTACCTGTTGTTACATGCCATGCATATATACTTCTCATGACCTGGTTGTAATAATCTTTATCTTGATAATGATGTAAGAATAAACATGGGAACGCCCCTCTGTGCATCAATAAGAAATTGGTATCTGTAAAGTCGTACTTCAAGAATGCCGATCAAACAAGCACTGGGTTACCATTGCCATCATGTTCCAAATGCTTGTTTTAACAATTTCTAACCATATATAATTTACTTTATCTCGGGTGTGACTACAGTGACAGACGTATTTTATATTGATACATAGCAAGATGAATGTGCCGACGTCGTTTCAAGCCTTATAATGTCCCCAGATTTAAACATTCTTCTCAGACTATTGTGATATAAGTGGTAATAAGTCCTGGGCATTAGAGACTTGCTTGTAAGGAATTTAATACTTTTCCTAGAAATCTTTCAAATTTATTTACTTTTCTCTGGAATCATCGGTGATGTGAGCTTGTGTGTCGGTTTCTCAAGAAACGATTTAACGTGATCTAAAATGAATGAAGTATTTACATATGATGTCACCTAATTCTTGTTAATGATCAAATGAATGTAGTTACACTATGATGTATTAAATAGAGAATTCATTCATGTATTTGCCCGTGTTTGACAACATATCCAATGATCTATTAACAAGTTCGTGAGATACACAAGTTGCATAACACCGTCCATGAGCACAAACTCAAATGGCCTGTCCCTTGTGACAGGTGTTAATTAGAGAATTAATTAATTATTCTACCATTAATTAATTATTACGCCGTGGCAAGGGTTCACTTTTATGACAGGTAATAAATCTTCTTCTTCTGTTATCAATTTTTGGTCAGTAAGTGCAACGGTCTGAAATATTTCATTCCACTGTTCCGCCTTATGGGTGTATACCAATTCTGCCTACATTTCCAAACCTACAGGTTAAAACAACACGATACGGTCCAGTGATCAGAAAATTTAGTTAATGGGAATACACTGATCTGACCTGTTCTACCCCTGCTAAAATGAACTTGACCAGTTAGTTGGTTAATGAACTGACCTGTTCTATGGTGTCTTCCCCCACTCTGCCTACAAAATTTTCAAAAATGACAAGAGTTGGTTGGTCAGACATCTTTATTCATTCTCAGAATTCTCAGTCTTTACATGGAGACATGGATATATCATGAAAAATTGATAAGTTTTACAGTCTTTTACTGGTTTTACAGTCTTTTACTGGTTTCACAATTACACACAACTGACAAGGATGTCCATTTCGTTGCCATGGACTCCGATATGTGGCGGGACCCAGATAAAATGTATGTTATTATTTTTATCTTGGTGGTATAGCATTCTTCTGTATTTATTACATCTGGTCTTTTTGTTGTAGAGTAAATTTTGAGAGCCGGTATTGAGCTAAAGGAATCCGTAAAAATGCAGATGGTAGTGTTTGTTTAGTCAGATGTTGTTTGCAAGGCCTGAACTATGGCTGCGATTTCTGCTGTGAAGATACTGGAGTTTGCCGGGAGATTATAGGATTGTTTAAGGCTTTTTGGGGGTATAGATACCAAAACCAGTAGCTCTCTTCTGATTTCAAGCACATTCTAACAAATCCCAAATTAATTAATGCACTCACTAAATATCTCATTCATACAAAATTATGCCAAACAACTAGCAGTAAAAACAATAATACCACATTTTACCATTTTAAAATTTGTTATAAATATGTATATATACTGAGTCAAAAAAGAAACTTCACAAAATGTAATTTGAAAAATAATGAATAATTTTTCTCTGATGATACATCTATGTATATAAAATGGGATCTCTATCTTTCGACTCTTAAAAAACGTTAGCAAAACCCACTCAAACCCATCCATTCGTCGTGCAAATGACGTTAGTGCCAAATCAGGTTTTGCACGTGCAGTCGATGACGTGATCTTCGCATCGAAGTTTTCTTCGTATGCACGTGTTTGCATTGGCCTCAGGAATTGAAAAAAACACTTTTAAACCACAGTTCTAACAGTACTTGAAATGCCACGATTGTCAAATGTGCAACGTGAACGTGCCGTTGGCATGTTGCAAGCGGGAAGATCAGTTATTGACGTCGCAAGAGCAATGGGATGCAGCCGTCGTATTGTGTATGACTTGCGAGGTCGTCAACAACAAACTGGCACCACTTCTGATCGCCCAAGGTCGGGTCGTCCACGTGTGACGTCAAGAGCAGAAGACCGTCAAATCTTCCTACGTCACCTACGTGACAGATTTCTACAGGCTACACGAACCAGGGCTGAGATGTTTAGAGGTCGACTGTCCTCACAGACCATTCGAAATCGGTTGCGGGCTGCCAGTCTCCATTCTCGACGTCCATATCTTGGGCCAATATTGCACCGTTTCATCAAAGTCCCTACGTCACTTCCGATGGACCACGAGAGACTGGAATCGAGTCGTCTTTAGCGATGAATCCAGGTTTACCCTCAGTTTCGCGGACTGCAGGCATAGAGTCTGGAGACGACGTCATGTACGGTATGCCAAATGTTGTGTACAGGAAGTCGACAGATTCGGGGGCGGAAGTTGCATGGTGTGGGGTGCTTACTGTGGGAACAACCGTTCCCGACGTCTGGTCATCCGTGGAAACCTCACAGCTGCTGCTTACCGCGACCAGGTGCTCACCCCTGAACTCATTCCTTTCATGGCGGCTCATGGTACTACACAACACTTTTGGACATGTTCAAAATGTTAACTAATATTCTGCCCAAACCAAATAGCCTTGCAGACCCATGCACAGAAGGTGGTGGCTCATGGGCCAATCTGGTGATGCTGACCTCCGATTTCTGTACGTCTCCAATTATTTGTCATGGACGGAACTATCCTGACCTTTAATCTGGTAGACAGCTACAGCATTTCATGTCAAATTCGCTGGAGTATAACACCCCCTTATCCTCGGTCTTTGCAGCTTGGAGATCCGCTGCAGTATAAGATCGTCCTTGTTGACACTCCATGGTGGGTGGGGAGATGGGATGCCGAACCACATTCCTTACAACATGGCATCCAAACACCCTGGTTCAAAACGAAGACATATGGATCCTGACAATTCCTCGTCTGACGAGAGTACGCCCCTTCGACCTGATTACTGGCCACGTTTCTTAATCATTGAAGCTTATGACAAGCAACCACTGCCCATTTGCAGTCTCCAAGGATATCGCTGGTATCTGCAGAGAGGTTGCCAATGTAACAAAGCTTCGGTCCGGTTCTCTCCTTGTAGAATGTGCTCGGAGACAGCAATCCTTGAATCTACTGAAATTACAAGAGTTTTGTCAATGTAAAGGTTGCTGTCTCAGCGCACAAAACACTGAACACGTGTAGAGGCATTGTTCAGGACAGAGCTCGATGCCTGTATGACATGACTGAGGAACAAATTGTCCAGGAACTTTCCCAGCAGTCTGTCACAGCTGTGAAGAAATTCACCATCAAGAAGGACGGTGTTGTTCAACCAACAAACACCTATCTGTTTACGTTCGCCCGATCGAAGATTCCTGAATCGATTAGAGCTGGTTATTGTAGCATTGGTGTGGAGGTCTATGTCCCCAATCCACTCTGGTACTACAACTGCCAAAGTTTGGACATGGATCCAAATCTGTCATTCCTCTACTGTTTGTTACCGCTGTGGTGACAACCATGAGGGCAATGACTGTACTATGGAAGTGAAGTGTGCAAACTGCGGTGGCAACCATATGGCCTCTTCCAAATCTTGTCCCATGTGGCAACGCGAATCAGAGATCATAAAGATCAAGCCCAAACAAAATGTCTCATTTCATGAAGCTAAGAAGAGGGTTGCAAGTTTAACTGTATCCCTTCCACCAAAACTTACTCTTCTGCCGTCTCTCGCCCTTCTACCACTACTGCAACAATCAAACTGATGTGACATGGGTCAAATCTTCTCAACATCTCCAAAATCAAAAGTCAAAACTTCTGAATCACAAACACCAGAACCAATGCCAAAGCCAGAAACGTAAACTGTGCGCCAAAAAAGAAAAGAAAAGAAACTACGGAGACTAAAGCAGCTTGAGCAACTGCCAAACCAAAATCCAAAGGCCACGTCTCCTACAGAGGTCCCCATCGAGGTCCATAACTCCTTTGGTCCTCTGGATATGGAGGTCCAACCTGACACCAATAGAAGTACTTCAAACGCTTCTTCACGTTCACGTGACATGTCACCAGTCGAAGCACAATGAATCCACAAAACATGATTCAATGGAATTGCAGAGGACTTAAGAATAATTTTAATGAACTACAGTTATTGACTCAAGACCCCCGCGTTTTGTCTCCGCGTTTTGTCTCCAAGAAACCTACCAAAAAAGAACTGATAAATTTGAAATCCGTCGGTACAGTTCCTAACACTCCTTTTCTCCTCCCGGTGTTAAAAGCTAAAGGAGGCACTTCTATCCTGGTGAGACAGGGCATCCTCCATAGCCCTCTTCCACTTAACACCACCCTACAAACTGTCCACATGACTCTGAACATAGGGTTTACACTATGTTCACTCTATCTTCCTCTCTCCTCAACTGTCTGCCTATCAGATCTTCAATTGTATGATCAACTCCCAAAGCCCTGCATAACCATGGGCGACTTGAACGGCCATAAACCTCTATGGGGGAGTACTGATACAAGTAATAAGGGAAAGGTCCTTGAAGATTTTCTCTCAAATGATGATCTATGCATCTTCAATGATGGATCAAACACTTATCTCCATCCTGCCACTGGAACATACTCTGCACTTGATCTATCACTTACGGATTCTAATCTCTTAAACGAGTTTGAATGGTCGGTCCACGATGACTGTTCTTACTCCTATCAATCCCGCGGATGAACCACCTTCAACAAGGTGGAATTTTACCAAGGCCAATTGGCCATTATTCCAAACTCTCTGCTCTGAAAAACTTATACCTGACAACTTCGGGAATGTTCCTGATCCCATGGAACTACTTTCTGATATCTTAAATACTATTGGAGACGAAACCATTCCTAAGTCCTGTACATAACCTGATTGCAGTTCAAATGACACATGCTAGGGAAAGACGTACCTACACAAACTGCACGTCGGTCATGGAGGAAATATGCGTCCAAAATCAACTCCCGCACACCCATGTCCAAGGTGTGGAATATTATTCAAAAGATTAAGGGCAAAGGATCAAAATCTGGTGTTCGCTATCTCAAAGATGGTGACTCTCTTTTAACAAATAAATTTGAAATTGCAAATAGACTTGGCAAAACTTTGGCAAACCATTCCTCCTCGTCAACTTATAACCCTCAGTTCCAGAAATACAAAACCCAACAAGAAAAGAAATCAATCAATTTTAACTCTAATAATGGAGAGGATTACAATGAAACTTTTTCTCTCCATGAACTACGTACTGCCCTGGGGCAGGCTCACGACACTGCTGCAGGAGCTGATGATATTCATTATCGGCTTCTGAAACACTTCCCTGATTCAAGTTTGGAAACACTACTCAATACATTTGATGATATTTGGACAACCGAAAACTTTCCTCCTTCGTGGCACAATGCCATTATCATCCCTATACCAAAGCCTGGCCGGGATCATACTGATCCCTCCAATTACCGTCCTATATCACTAACTAGCTTTGTTTGTAAAACCATGGAGCGCATGGTCAACAATCGATTAATCTGGTACTTGGAGACCAATAACCTCCTTAGTGACCTCCAATGTGGTTTCCGAAAGAACCAAAGTACCATTGACCATTTGGTGCGTCTGGAATTATGGTATCCTAAAAGATCTACATGAATTTGGATTGAGGGGTAGATTACCTCATTTTTTAAGCAACACACAATTTCAAGTACGGGTGGGTTTCACATTGTCTGATTATTTCCACCAAGATCAGGGCGTCCATCAAGGCAGCATTCTATCTGTCACCCTTTTTAGCATCAAAACCAATAGTCTCACTAACGTCTTTAACAGTTGTGTTGATGGGTCCCTTTTCGTGGATAATTTCAATATGTCATGCCGTTGTAAGAACATGCACGCAATAGAAAGGCAGCTACAGCTCTGCCTAAACAAAATCCAAAAGTGGGCCAATGAAAATGGCTTTTAGTTTTCAAAATCCAAAACAAATTGTATTCCCTTTTGTCCTTATTACAAACCACACAAGGATCCAGACCTATCTTTAGATAGTATTCTCATTAAGGTACTAGAAGAGGCCAAATTCCTTGGACTCTTATTCGACCGTCACTTAACATTCTTACCACACATAAAACCAAATGCTTGAAGGATCTGGACTTACTAAAAGTCGTTTCAAACACAGAGTGGGGAGGGGATCAGACAACACTCCTTCACTTGTACAGATCTTTGGTTCGCTCTAAACTAGACTACGGCTCCATTGTTTATGGTGGAGCCTGCAAAAGCAATTTAGAAAAATTGGATTCTATCCACCACCAAGGCCTGAGGCTCTGCCTGGGAGCTTTTAGGACCTCTCAAGTAGACAGTCTGTATGTAGAGGCTAACGAACCATCCCTTGCACAACGCTGCATTAAACTTTCACTGCAGTATATGACTAAATTACGTTCAAATGAGCCCAATCCAGCATACAATTGTGTTTTCAACCTGCTCTACGAAAATCTGTTTCCTAATTTGCCAAGCCTTGTTCCACCACTCGGAATCAGAATTCAACCACACATATCTGCAGCTAAAATTGATCTCGACATCATAGCACCTTACAGACTTCTGTCTTCGCCACCCTAGCAGATGGTGAAACCACAGGTCGACCTTACCCTCACCAAACTTAAAAAGTCTGAAACAAATCCTTTGGTGTTCCAACAGGAATACAACCAGTTACGTTCCAAATATAACACCCATAGATCCATTTTCACAGACGGATCCAAGGATGACGGCCAAGTTGCCAGTGCTACAGTCATTGGATCCAAGACTGTCTCCTCCAGAATTCCCGACAATAGTTCCATTTTCACTGCTGAGGCCAAAGCTATCTTCACAGCTTTGACCTATATTGAACAACAGAACCATTCCAAAAACTTCATCGTTTTTACAGACTCATTATCTTGCCTACAAGCACTTCAAAATGTTACTTCAAGTCACCCTATCATCCTAGACATTTTAGAACTTTACAACGATCTTCCTACTGGCCAATGTGACATCATCCTCTGCTGGTTGCCGGGTCACGTCGGCATAGGAGGTAACACAAAAGCCGATGCTAAATCAGCTCTTGACAAGCCCTTATCTCCACTGCTAATCCGGTACAGTGATTTCAAACCCACAATCAAAAGTTATACTCGGGACCTTATGCAAAAAAGGTGGGACACCCAAGTAGGAAGAAATAAACTTCATGAATTGAAGCCAACAATTGGTTATACCTACGTGGGTTGTCAGTCAAGACGAGATGAGGTAATTTTACGACGATGTCGTATTGGCCACAGTCGGTTTACTCATGACTATCTGCTGAAAATGGATTGGGATGGAGCTCCTATGTGTGTCTCTTGCGATGAAGTGTTCACCATCAAGCATATTCTGCTTGACTGTGTGGACTTTTCGACTGCAAGGGATGCACATTATGATGCGAGAAATCTGAAAGATCTGTTTTCCCGCGTGAGCGTGCATCTGATTGTAAACTACCTTAGGGAAGTTGACCTGTATCATAAATTGTAATTTTGTAAAGAGAATAACGAATTGCTTGCTATTGAATTTGGTGCTATGACATTCTGTTTTGAAATAGAAATGTAATGAATATATATGTTTTTAAGATATAACTCTTTTGGACCTGGACTTAAAATGGTAATGAATGGAAACTTGATCTCGTCACTATATGGCTGGAAAAATGCCGATGTGACGTAAATCCCAACTCAACTCAACTCAACTCAACTCAACTCAACTCAACAATGTTATCAAACAAACACATTGCAAAAGTTAGTTGTCTGGCAAGACAGTGTACCCGGACTCGGCATCCATACTTCCATGAACTGCAGATCCGGTTCCGAAACATACGATAAGATAAATATATAAACACTGGTTGTTCACACCTCTCTCATCTAGATGTAAAACACACTCTCATCTGTATAATATAATATTATAAACTTAAATCATGTGTTTGTTTTGTTTGTTAGTTGTTTAACGCCTCACTCAGCAACAGTCCAGCTATGTCTGTAAATACTCGACCAGACAATCCAGTGATCAAGATAATGAGCATCGATCTACGCAATTGATATACGATGACAAATGAGTGAGCCTGACCACCAGATCCCGTTAGTCGCCTCTTACGTCAAACGTAGGTTGCTAAAGACCAAATAATTAACACCATTGAAGAACCATAAAAACAAAGTTTTACCCAACTTCCTTTTACGCATTTAAATCAAAACATGTTAATATCTGAACAAACTAAAATCATGTTCAAGTAATTTCAAAATGGGTCGTTTTCTATATTTGTATGGTCCTTCATAGTGACATAGAGGTGGTTGTTAGATTATAGGGAGGTTAAGGGTATGTATACTGTTAGAATATAGTTTCGTGACTTAATCATGAGTGTATGCGAACCTCGCTGCTGGTGATCCAATCATCATGATTACCTTTATAGTTGACTATCATTTACCCTTACTAATATCATTCTTTAGGGGTACATCATAGGTATCAGGATATGCACGTGACACACGCGTAAAACACGTGAACTTACAACGTTGTCTACTGTCCTTATTGTCTGCCAAAGATTAAATTGATTTTCTAAACAACGGCAAGCCGCAAATCCAGCAATCGTTACTACCCGTGAATGATTTGGCTCAGAGCTTCAGTCTGGTTCCACTGCACAAAACAAACGCTCGAAAGGAAACAACTACAAGGCAGTGACAGTTCAGTTGAAAGTGTCATCGCTGTAAACGATGCAAGATATTTTGGTGAGGTAAGCGGAGCATCACTACGAACGTACTCGAATATCATGAAACGAAATATACACATTTTGTATGCACTGTTTTTCCTAACTCTTGCAAGAAGCCTTGACTTTCGTTTTCAAGAATTTACCGATAATTCCGCTTGTGGAGGCAAGATTCTTCAGAGCCAGTACAGGTACGGCATGGCTAACGGAGTCAGTCAAGTCAAGTGTGCCCTCCTGTGTGCTGAAAGTGATTTGTGCAAGTCTTTTCAACATCACAAACTCAATCGGAGTTGTCAGCTTAATGATGACCTCGATATTGGCGATTGCTCTAAGATGACTGATGCTGTCGATTTCAGTTATCATGAAAAGGTGAGTTCATATTTTACACATTCTAATTCCGGGATTCACAATGCCTTTTAGAATTCAGGGAATGGATTCATAATGCCGTTTAGATTTCAGGGAATGAATTCACAATGCCTTTTAGAATTCAGGGAATGGATTCATAATGCCTTTTAGAATGAAGGGAATGAATTCACAATGCTGTTTAAAATTCAGGAAATGAATTCACGATGCCTTTTAGAATTCAGGGAAAGAATTCACAATGCTGTTTAAAATTCAGGAAATGAATTCACGATGCCTATTAGAATTCAGGGAAAGAATTCACAATGCTGTTTAAAATTCAGGGAATGAATTCACGATGCCTTTTAGAATTCAGGGAAAAAATTCACAATGCTGTTTAAAATTCAGGGACTGAATTCACGATGCCTTTTAGAATTCAGGGGAAAAAATCACAATGCTGTTTAAAATTCAGGGAATGAACTCACGATGCCTTTCAGAATTCAGGGAAAGAATTCACAATGCTGTTTAAAATTCAGGGAATGAATTCACGATGCCTTTTAGAATTCAGGGAAAAAATTCACAATGCTGTTTAAAATTCAGAGACTGAATTCACAATGCCTTTTAGAATTCAGGGAAAAAAATCACAATGCTGTTTAAAATTCAGGGAATGAATTCACGATGCCTTTCAGAATTCAGGGAAAGAATTCACAATGCTGTTTAAAATTCAGGGAATGAATTCACGATGCCTTTCAGAATTCACAATGCTGTTTAAAATTCAGGGAATGAATTCACGATACCTTTTAGAATTCAGGGAAAGAATTCACAATTCTGTTTCAAATTCAGGGAATGAATTCACAGGAGCCTCTGCACTTTCTGTTTTAATGTTGATATTTTGACAAATAAATAATGTTATTTAAAAATGCTCTTGGTTTGCCTTTGAAAAAAGGTGGTTTATTTAACACAGAATGCCTACTACTACAATGTACTTCATAAGCGGAACAGGTTCCATGGAATACAGAGACATTGTTTGTAGACTCTGCAAGGAATATTTATAATTTTTCACAGTCAGTGTGATTGTGAGGTATGTAAGCTGAAATTCATTGTAGACACCTCCAAAAATAGTTATGGTTCAATTATATCAGTATTAAGGGCATTTTCTCTTAGAATCTGCACTTGGAACACTTTGGTTTTAACAAAAGACCACTTTCATCGCCATACAAAAAATGCCAAATAGTCAATTATGCCTATGCAATCTGGTCAAATTAAGGTTAAGAATGCTTACGATCACTGTTTTCCTCCTTTTGTGTAAATTTGATTGGACAATATTAAATAAATAATGAGAATATGCGATTTGAATGTTTGGAGCCCATTATTTCCAAATTAGGTTTAAGTGACTCAGAACACTCTGGTTTACAAGCGACGCAATGCAATCTAAATTTGGTATCATTACTTGAAACGCTGTGCAACTTTCGTCTTTTCCCCTTGTGCAAAGCTGTCAACAACTTCATCAAACTCAATATCAAAATTAGCATTGTTGACCTCAGACAGGTTTTCACACGTTATATGGCGGCGGTCTGTAACTAATCGAGTCTGGACCAGACAATCCAATGATCAACAGCATGAACATCGATCTGCGCAATTGGGAACCGATGACATGTGTCAACCAAGTCAGCGAGCCTGACCGTCCGATCCCCTTAGTCGCCTTTTACGACAAGCATGGGTTCCTGGAGCCAGTAATTAGCATTATGTTAACTTTTAATGTTTCTCAAAGTACTGGAACTTGTCTGATGCAGTGACGTTCATGTATGTGCGTAATCGAACGGTGTCCACATTAATGATGGCTATTATATAGCGCCTGTTTCCACACACTTGTGCATCTCCAAGGCGCTAACACGTTATTAGGTTAACAGTCACATGACTTATCCCACCGGGTACCCATTCACTGATTGGTGAACAGAGGCACTTTATGAACAAACCCACTTGCCTAGGGTTAGACCACATGTGTCATGTTTGCTTCGTTGAAACTCTCAGGAGTCAAGCTGCTAGACACGGTCACCCATCCAAAGAATTTCGTTGCTAACCTTCAACTGATTCGTGACCTGGGCTACCTAGCTAACATTTCCTCTCCGTCAACACACATATATTCATGGAAACAAATAAAAGTGTGTATGGTTTTATAGCAAGGAAAATGCCAATGGCTGAATTCAATATTCAGACTCTTTTAATGCATGTGAACAAAATGAGGTAACGTGTGAAGTGTTAACATGCAGTGAAACAGAAAAAGTCGTGTTGATAACATGCCTCCACGTGTTGTTCCTTTATTTAGTGTAGTCAGTGTATTTCAAGCTCCCTACTGCTCTGTATCATTAAGCCGACACCCCTAAAAGTATCAGTTTTGATTAAAATGATTATTGCGGAACACCTCCTTCTATATTTTATTGTAGATGTCTCCTCTGGTGGCTTTAATGAACTTCTCAAGATGATCAGTATATACGCCAAATAATAACAGGCGAATCGGTCAGTAAGATTTAAACGGACTTTTCAACATTATCATCGTTAAGCAGTTGGATTCGACAAACTGGTTGATAGCATGAGCACCTGTCACTGACCGAAGGCCACCGTATGAAGTGTCTGTAGGGGGGCCTGCGTCCATCATGAACGCCAAGTCTACATCCAGAGGTGAACGAGAATCTGACCACCTGTTGCATGTTGACCAGGCTGGGGTAGACCTACATTATCGGGGACAAATGTACATATTTTCCGTGGCCTTTGACATATTTCCTGTTTCATATACGTATTTATAGTCAAACAACTGAGAATATTTGTCAAAGGTGAGGACATCGCAACCTTTCGCGAAACCTGGTATCATCATTATTTGATGGTGATTTATCAATAGTAGCGACAAAACCCTTTCCATGACGACAATATGATGAGCGAGTGTTTGCGAAGAGGTCAGAGCATCCTGTCTCGTAAACACCCGTCATACACACATGCAGAGGCTAGTCAAATATTTACCTGAAATAATTCCGAAAATATGGTTGAAGTTAAACTGAGGAATTGCATGGGACAAATTTGGAAAGTCCTCCATATATCTGCAATATAACATTTTACCTACTGAGGCCTTGAATGTTGTAATACTGATCTATCAACGTTCTGAGCAAGAGCCGCTTGACGCTCTTTGAAATCTTGGTTGGAAAGAGCATGCTCCAAATTTGAAATGTAAACATCAAAGGTTGGGGCTGATGGAATTTTGTTCGACATAAAGGGCAGTTGACTATTGGAAAGTTGAAATAACGCACACTTGTATGGTTTTGTCTCTTCTTATTTGTAAAACCTAGAAAGATTTCTTTTAGTACTTTCTGGAACAAAGAATTTCGATTGAAAAAGGACCTCAAGATTTCCAATTGTTAGTATGTAAGCTAGATAAATACTTCCCCGGAATAACACCCCCAGGGGAGAACCTATGGAGAATTCTACGTACCTTTCTTCAACACTCTCTGAAGAACAACAGAATATCAATTCATATCGATTATGAAAACTAACATCGATTGCACTTGGTGACAAAAGTCATGTTTAGCAAGAGAGAACGACTGCACCTTCACACACCAGTAGGGGCGGCGGGGTAGCCTAATGGTTAAAGCGTTGGCTCGTCACGCCGAAGACCCGGGTTCGAATCCCCACATGGGTACAATGTGTGAAGCCCATTTCTGGTGTCCCCCGCCGTGATTTTGCTGGAATATTGCTAAAAGCGGCGTAAACCCAAACTCAGTCAGTCAGTCACACACCAGTAAACCATTATGATCAATAGGGTAACGGTGATTTATCACCTGTAATTTATATCTATGGAGGATAAACCTATATTCGAGGACCGAGAATCTACAAACAGTGCTGAGTACGTCCGAAGGTTGTAAACACTGTTATTTTCATCGCAGATTGTAGCGTTCGTCTTTTCTGGTGTCAAGCGCGACCCGGGCTGCCCTGACTGGCTGTATAACTCACGATTCAGTCGATCTCGAATGGTCATTACTAACTCGTGCCCGAAAATACTGATTGACTGAGGCTAGTTTTACACCGCACTCAGCAATATTACAGCTATTATGGCGGCGGTCTGTAAATAATCGAGTCAAGTCAAAACTCAAAGATTTTTATTGTATAAAAGGCCTCCGGCCCATATACATAGGAGTTATACATATACATTATACATATGGTGCAATAAGTAGTAATTAGTGATCCAAACAGCAAATCATAATACAGGCAGTAAAGTACGTACAAGTAGTGAAATACGATGGGTCTACAAAACTATATTTCAGATTGTTACGTTTAATAAGAGCATAATTGATATAGTCCGACAGCTTTATTATTACATGCTGGTCAGGTGATGAAAAAAGTAGTTTAAAAGCTAATGTGGGTGGCTTACATAGATAATATTCAGCTATATCTTCGTACGTAAATCATTTGTTCAAAGGACATACAAGTAAAAACTGGATTTCATTTTCCACATCTAAATTACACAGAGGGCACATTCTCTTGCATCTTTCATTATAATAACGTCTTCCTTCGTTTACCATTATGTTGATCAAGCCTAACCTAAAACGTATAAATGGATATCTTAATTTCTTTGATGTTAAAAACGACAACTATTTCTCCGGCTGGAGTAGTGATTTTTATGTTCTTTACACATCTAAATTACACAGAGGGCACATTCTCTTGCATCGTTCTATATAAAAACGTCTTTCCGTGTTTACCATTATGTTGATCAAGCCTAACCTAAAACGTATGAATGGATATTGTTACGAGAGTGTGTGTTTTTTGTAATTTGTAAAATCACAAATGTTCAACGTTTTGAGTGTGGGTTGTGGGTCAGATTTGGTATCATATATGTTCAATGGCAATAGTATTTTAGCGGCACGCCTTTTGAGATAGCGCTCCAGAGTTGCCTCCCTTGGCCTTATTTCTGTTTTGACCGGCAGCCTGGTTCCCTGGGTCTGTTGCGCCTGCGCTACGCTCCGACACTGTTTTGACCGGTCGTA